AAATTTATTTTTTTCTTTAGACAATTTTTAAATAATTCTAGAAACAGATTTATTTTTCTTGAACACTTTTAAAACTTTATTTTTATTAGAAGTTTATCGAACAACTTTTAATACTTTATTTTTTTTATCAACAATTTTAAAACTTTATTTTTATTTTTTAGACAATTTATTTTTTATTTACAAAATTTTATTTACAAATTTATTTTTCTTTTGATGAACTACCTGGATCTATTCCTAGATTTTTTTTAACCTACTCCTCATTTAATACCTACTCTACAGGAGCCTAATCTAAACTACTTTTTGGAACTGAACGAACCTCCTTCCAAATTTTTTCTTTCTCCTTTCCTAAATCTAATCTTGATTTTTGATATCATAAAGTTCTATTTTCTTTCTTAAGTTGCTTCATCTCTTCTTGCAACTTTAGGACTTCTTCTTTAAGCTCTCTTATCTTAGCTTCTTGAGCTACAAGTTTTCCCTGAACTGACTCTTCTTTTGGAATTCTTGTATCTAAAATAAAACTATAAAAAATTAGAAAACTATGATTTTCTAAGTATATATACTCAAGTATAAAACAAAAAGACAACAAAAATCTATCTACGTATTGGCAGGAAACTTATCCAAAGAATATAATAAATAAGGTTTATTATTTATTATACTAGTTAATATAAGTCCCTTACCTTCTTGTTCAAGCTCAAGAACCTTAAAGCTTGAAACTACAAGGACTGAAAAACAAGTAGCATTGTATACTACTACTTGTTCTAAAAGAGGAAAATATTAAAGGAAAAATATCTACTGAGGCAAAAGCTCACTCAAGTAGAAAACTAGCTAAAGCTCATAGTCTGAAACAAAAATAATTAAGTTATACTAGCCTAAGCTCATAGTATAACTCAACTGGCAAAAAGCTTACAGTTATCAAAAAATATATATACCTTTTATTTTTTAACAAAGGAAAAAGCCAAAGCAAAAAAGAAAAAACAAAAGTAGAAACAGGACAAAAAGTTTGTAAAAATTATAATAATAATTTTTGAAAAATTATTATTAAGTACAGAAAAATTTAAAAATTACATCAAATAATTTTTAAATAATTATTTCAAAAATTTATCAAAACAACAATAAGGATTTTGATATTAATTATTGTAAATCATATATGACTTGTTAATTTTCTAATTTGAATTTATAGTTCATGTAGAATTTAATAATGATTATCTATTTTTGAAAAATAGTAATTGAATATCAATGAACATTTTCTTTTAATTTTAGTCACATGAAATATTCAAATTCTTTGAATTGTTTCAACTAAAATTTAATATTTAGAATCAGATAATTTTTATTTTTTTTAGATTTAGTTTATATTTTATATTTAGTATTTACAGAGTAAATTCTTTAAGGGGACGGAAATGTTATCAAATGAATTTTAGTATATTTTCTTAATTATTTATTATTATATTAGATTTGATATTTAGATTTATATATTAGCATTTCTTTCGAATTCCTAATAGCTAAAAATAGATTTAGGTTACACCATTCGATGTAGCTCAATTAGACCTTCAAAATGAGCTATAAATTATATCTGTAGCATATGTAGTTCTTGAGTTACCTTAGAATTTACATTTTGAGTAATATCTATATTTGATGACGTTTGATGATATTTGATGACGTTTGATGACGTTTAACTATATTTGATAACGTTTAACTATAATTGATGACATTTAGCTATATTTGATAACATTTAACTATGTTTGAGGATGTTTAGGAAAAAGATATATAAACTCTAGTTTTTTCCCTCTCTTGTAAAGTAGTTCTGTAGTTCCTTACAGTTCTCTAATAAAGTTCGCTATTAAATATTAATAAAGTATATCTTAGCTTTGCAAAAATGCTTCCTTTAAATGAACTGCCACAGTGATGTAACATTCTACTTTGACACTGTTGAGAGTCCCCCTTCTGTATCTTATGTTATTTGTAGTGTATTGAAAAGGCTATACTACTTGTAACAGCATATATGAAGCTATAAATTACTTTTACTTACAAACTAGACTTCTATTCTTGAATATTTTATACTTATTTTATAGTTTATTTAGAGTTATTATACCTTTATTAATATTCATATGAACTTAGTTCCTACTATAGCTCTCTACTAGTAGTCTTTCAAATATTTTACAAGGTAGATCTTCACAAATCTAGTTAGCTACTATGTCAGATTAGTATTGCTATTTCTCCCTATGAAATAGACTTACTTATACCTAACTTAATTTATATTTTCATACTACTAGATTAAATATTAACTAGTATAACTATTAAAATCTATATTGCTTTATCTAACTCAGAATTTTTACTATGCAGATCTTTTGTCTGTAGATCCTATTAAGATTTATTTATATAATATTATATCTTTCTAAATATTACATCATACTTCTAATATTTAAATAATATTAATACAATATAATTTATAGGATTACAACCTCAGAAACAGACAAAATTTACTATAAGTTAGATACAAAAGTCTAAGTAATTATTCAAATTTATTAACAATAGAATTTGAACTTCAGACCTTTTATATAGTAGTTTAGCAACTTAGCTACTACACTAAAATCACTAGACTATATATAGTATTTATTATATATTTCATATATATATTAGTTATATTATATATTTTATTAATAATAGTTGTAGTATATATAGCTTCTATAATATATATAGTCTGTTATATTTTTTTTTTTTTTTTTTTTTTTTTTTTTACTTTATACAAATACTATTGACTGAATTCTTTATTAATATAAATAGTGAGAGATATTATATATTGTGAGAGTACAACTAGCTATATATATAACTTTAGATTATCTAATTTAAATAGTCTGCCTAAAGGTTCTACACTAGCTGCTATACATAAAATTTATTTGAAAATTCTCTATTTAAACTCTTTAGTTATATGTTATTTCTAACTTGATATTCTATTATAATTCGTTTAATCCTGTACTATTTCTTTTTTAAAAAATATCAACAGAGCTAATATTAGTCTACAAATTTTATAATTTAGAGCCTAAGCTTATCTCAAATACTTTTTCACTAACTTTCTAATCAATAGAGTACTATAGAACCTAACTATGCTATGCTATATTCTAATCTATCTTGCATATACTCTTGTTCGATATTTGTATAAACCTAATTCTTACTGTAGCTTTCCATTAGATTAGTTATCTATACTTTTAGATATTACATAAGATAGGCCCTTCTAAATTCTGTTAACTCAAGTTGGTATTGCTAAAAGTTATCTGTGCTTCTAGATATCATATGGAATAGATTCTTTTAGATCTAGTTAGTTACTAAGGGTGTTCTCAAGTACCTAGATTAATTAATCAGATGCAAAATTTTAATTAGTCAGAGGTTGAAAAAACTGATCAAGTAAGTTGTGATTTCAATGAAAAAATTCTAGAGATACAGACTATTTTTTTTTTTCACAGAGTTAACGCTGATAGGCTAAAATTGCCTATTAATAGAGTACAAAGAGAGGTTGTTCAAGCACTTTACTTATATCATAAATCTTCAGTGAAATTACAATTAGTGTTGAAAATTATTACATTGCTTTTTATATTAAAAACTTTTATCGCAAATAAAAAATCACAAGAAACCTAAATAATAAAACTAGCAAATATTTATTATCTTTTAACTTTTATGTCAAATACAACAATTCCATATATTCTTTCTTTACCTAATATAAAAGCCCAATGCCAACTAAGACCAAAAACAGGAGGATTCTGAATAGATATTTTTCTAAATTTAACAGATAAAGGAGGTTATAATTCATTTCAGTATCATTTTTGTATTACTCTTGCTACCTTTAACTATATTGTTAGGTGATTAGAAATCCATTCAGCTTTTTTTTCAGAAGCTCTTAATGCAACTCCCGTATGGAAGCAAATTGCTATTGTATTATAGAGATTTGCAAATAGAGCAGGCATACGAACATTAGAACAAATACTTAGGATTAGTAGGGATCTGTATGTCACTTTACTGATCAGTTTTTAGAAGCGTTATTAAACATGGAAAAGGATAGAATAATGTGACCACAAGGTGCTTGATTAGTAGCAGTAATATATAGATTTGAATAGGGTGAAACTAGTTTAGAAAATTGTAAATTGCCAAATGTTATTAGTACTATAGATGAGTCACATATACCAATTTACCCTCCTTCTCAAAATGATGCTTGATTTGTTAATCATAAAAGCTTTCATTCTATTAACCTTCTTGGTATAGTTAATTTTTAAGAATGTTTTATATATGTATATATTGGAGAAGCAGGTTTAATAAATTATTTTATTTTATTTTATTTTATTTATTTTATTTTATTTATTTATAAATAAATTTTTATAAAGGCAGCATTTATAATACTCATGTATTATATCGCTCTTCTCTTTATTGTGAAATTTCATTATGTCCTGAACAATGGGTTTCTGGTAGTATATATATTATTACTAATTCTGTATACCCTCTAAAAACTTATTTTATTAAAGGATTTCCAAATTATGATTTATTAACTCATCGTGAGTAACACTTTAATAAGGTTCTTTCTTCAATAAAGATAGTTGTTGAGCGAGCATTTAAACAGTTAAAAGGAAGATGGAGAATTTTACTGCAAGAAATTTATTGTACAGATTTAGAATGTATTGTTAGGATTATTCACGTATGCTGTATATTACATAATTTATGTATAGATAATAATAATTTGTTGCCTTTAGAAGATGCTGAAATAGATAATCATGTTAGTAATAGTGATGATAACAATGACAAAATTGAAGATAATTTATTTATGATCAATGAAGAAAGTAATAGAATAGCAGATATACAAAAAAAGGATTATTTAGCAAATATTCTGTTTAATTATTCATAATAATATTATTAATTTATATTTATATTAATAAAATACATGATTTTATTATATTACTATTTTATAATTTTGTTAAAAGTTGTCTAAAGATATCTATTGTCTCATCATGTTGCTTTTGCTAAGCCTTAAAAGTATTATCATATTGATCTTTTATAGATTCAATAATAGTTTCAGTTTGTTCTTTAATAAGTATATGAAACTCATTGATACTTCCTTCTGAACGTCGTTTTTTTTTAACATTATTAATATTAAAATCAATCTATATATTAAAATATAAAAATTAATAAATACTAATACTATTTTATATAATAATTATTAAAAAAAATCTCCTATTACCTCGTCATCATCATTATTATTCTTAGTTTTTTGTAGTTTGCATTTTACTCTATTGATCGAATCACTTGTGATAGGTGCTGTAATACTTGAATCTTTCTTCAAATGTTCATCCATATCATCAAAAAATTCCTAATCATTCTGTATTGCTTCTTCACCAGTACTTGTAACAGTGTCTTTTATATTATGATACTTCTGAAGAAGATTATTCTATTTTTGTTGAATTGATTGTTTTGTGTAATCCTTTAAACTTGAACTTGTATTGGTAGATTCTTATAAATTTGCTATAATAGTATCTCAAATTCTACCTTTCTCTCTCAGATCTCTTACTCGTTGCAATGAAGATTGTTTTTTTCCTACTTCTTCAATAAGCATTCAAGTTTCTAATGTTGTTCATCTATTCATTGATTTGCTAGATGGAATCACAGAGGCTGAACCTGAAGAACTAAAAGTAAGTTCTAAAATAGTTTGAGAAGCTGATGAATTTTCTTGCTCATTAGAAAATTCATTCTAAAAAAAAAAAAAAAAAAAAAAAAAAATCATAATAAATAAAAATAAATTAATAAAAAAATATATTGAAATAATTTTTTTTCATTAAAAATTTTAATACTTTGTTATTCATATCATTAGGTTTATTCAAGGCTAAGAAGAGTGTTTTGTTATTCATAGTATTGGAATTAGGATTATTCAAAGCTAAAGGAAAGGCTAAAGGGTTTATAAAAAGTTGCAAATATTGTTGTTGATATTGTTGCTGTAGCAATATTTGAATATTCGTAAAGTCTGTAAAAAGAGAAATTAAGGTACTTGGTGTTGCCAAAGGCAAAGGCATATTTGTTTGTTGAGTAGTAGTCTTTTTTTTTTATTGCAATATGGTGAAGACATTTGCGATAATAGATAAATTAAAGATGATCTGCTCAAGCAACAATTGCAATCATTATTTCGATCAATGGAAGTAATTAAGCATCACTTCAATCACTAGCAAATCATATTGAGGGAGTTGCTTGAGAACACCCTAAGCCAAATTAGTATTGCTATACAATTTTGTATAATAGACTTATATGCACCTTTTTTACTGATCTTTTTGTATACAAATTTTTTAATAGACTTATTTGTATTCTATTCACTGATTTTTTCATATACAGATTTTTTTTCACAGATTAAACGTAAACTGGTATGACTATTAAAATCTGTACTAATTTATTTAACTCAGAATTTCTACTATACAGATCTCCTACTTGTAGATTCTATTAAGATTTATTCATATAATATTATGTCTCTCTAAATGCCTTATTATACTTCCAATACCTAATTAATATTAGTACAATATAATTTACAGTATTATAATTCTAGAAATAGACAAAGTTTATTATAAGTTGAATACAGATATCTAGGTAATTATTCAATTCTATTGATAGTAAGATTTGAACCTTAGACCTCTTGCATGGTAGTCTAGTAACCTAACTACTATACTAAGATCATTAAACCTCTGTTATATTTCTAATATTTTGTAAAATATAAAAATAGTACATATGAACTTAATTTTATTATTGAGTCTTTACATTCTTTTACAATAAAAGTACTTTTCTGATACTTTAAAATAAATATTTATTGATATCCTTATATATCTTTAATTGTTACTTCTTTTATAATTACAAATTACCTTAAATCTTTTTTGTTAAGTTTTACAAAAATACTCTAAAGACTTTACAAAATACTGTAACAAGGATATTTGCAAAGTATTTTTGTTTAGTCTCTCTAGTTAGTTGTTCTTTCTAAAGAAGTAGAAATAATATAATAGTATAAAAAACCAACTTAGTGAAAAGTTATAGTAGAAACTAAATTTGTATAAATATTAAACAAGGATATATACAAACTAGATTAGAATATAGTATAATATTGTTAGATTTTACAATACTCTATTAATTAGAGAGTTAGTGAAAAAGTATCTTAAGATAAGGTTTAAGCTCTGAATTATAAAGTTTATGGATATATATTAGCTTTGTTAATATTTTCTAAAAATAAAAGTAATACAAAGTTAGATAAATTTAGTTAAACAAAAATAGTATACAAGTAAAATAGCATATAGTTAGAAGATTTAAATAGAAAATTTTCAAACAAATTTCAGATATAGTAGCTAATATAAAACTTTCAGGCAAACTACTTAAATTAGATAATCTAAAGTTATATATATTGGCCACAACTAAACCTCAAACTTATAAACCCTTTCTTAAATACACTCGATCTAATTACACAAAAAAACTCTAACAAAAACTACTGGTCACTCTATATTACACTAACTAATTTCAAAATTGGTAAAATTATCAACTACTCACCTAACCAGACTCTATTTCAGACTTATCAAATCTCTCACTCAAACTCAAACTCAATAACTATTTCACCTACAAATACAAAATTCCAAATTGACTATTAACAATCAATTAATATCAAATGCAAAACTCAAAAAGAACAACATCAATTTAAACTCAGTATTAACCAACAGGAACTACAAGCACTCTACAAAGTTCAACACTTATTATTCAAACCTCAACTATATTCAACTCCAAAAATAATAATCTTCTCACTAGAAATATCTCTCATTCAAAATACAATTACTGATCCAACTTATCAATTACTACTCATAAATCTTCACAAACAAATCCTTCTTCTAGATCCTAACAATCTTCATTTCTATATAGATGCATCAATCAAAAATTCTTAAACGCCAAATATCAGAATGGGCATTGCTTAGATACTCCAAAATAATACCTGAATTAAATTTAATGCATTTATCCCATCAGCTCTGAACTCAACAAGAGCAGAACTCTCAGTATTCATATATCTATTTCTTATTCTTCCAAATAATTATAAAATTCACCTATACTTAGACAATCTCTCTACAATTCAAATACTCAACCACAACTTACCCTATGACCACTCTACCCAAACTAAAACCAACAACTGAGATACTATCCATATACTTAACTATTTGATCAAAAAGGAAAATATCCAATATACCACTCACAAAACTAAATCATATTCCAAAAACTCCTTCTATAATATAGCTGATTCCTTAGTCAAACATGGTACTAACAAACCAGAAATTTAACTCAACATCGATTGCTTTTCTCTTTCTATTTTCTTTTCATAGAAACACATACTCTTACCACTCAAAATCTGTAAATTTTGCACAAACATCCTCTCAATCCAATTCTTAAACAAAATTACTCAACTAAAAACCTTTCAAAATCTCCAACCTTTTAATATCCTCTAATTCACTAATATAATAAATTCTCAAAACAACAATCTCAAATTATACTCATTCAGAAACAAAATATTATTAAGCAACTTACTAACAATGGCAAATCTAAGTACTCGCTATCCTAACCTATACTTCACCTCAAATTGCTCCTTTTGTAACCAATATAAAAACACTAAACATCTTCTTTCTTGCACACTTCATATAATCAATTTCCATAACATACTACTAACTAATATAACAAATAGCCTAAATAGTCTCAATTTAACAACTTCTACACCCCAAATAATTCTACTGCTCATTCTTCAAACTTATAATTCACAAAATCTACTAAAAACTCTCCTACTCCTTACTCAAGGAATTATTCCAATAAATTGCTATGAGCAAATCAACTCTTAACTTAAAAAAACAACTAATAACTTCTTTATACAACTAACTAATTCTCTACTTATTTGGTTCTAAGACAAAATTTGGAATATCAGAAATCAAACACATCACAAGTGAGAATCTGCTCATGGGATCTCTAGAAAAAACAAAACAAACTCAAAAACTATTCATCTTCCACAAACTCCAAACACCCCAAATACTATTACTACTTACAATCTTAATATAGATAATTTTATTCAAAAATCTTTACTTCAAAACTTCTCTAT